TGATGACGGCGGGTTCACTCCAGTGGCTGTTTATACAAAGATTATCAAGACTCGTCGAGATTTGGCTAATACTTTGTTCAGAGCTTTGGAATGTCCAAGAAAGAAAAAGCATGTTTTAGGCATGTTCATCAATTGTTGGACATGTTTGTGCACGTCTCCTACGCATTTGGCTTACTCTGAAGGCAAAGGCGAGTGCTGCAAAAGTCGCCGCGGCTGTGGCGCAGCGTGGGTCAAAGTGGGAGGAGTGGGTGAAGGTGGATGGTGCAGTCAGAAGAGTGCTGATTGGTGGTTAAACTCGAATCTCCTTCCTCGGATTTCCTTTGGGGCTGTTCACTTGGGGTCCGGGTACAGAGGAAAGGAATCAGAAAGGAGAGTTGCTTGGGTGTGTGATGACCATCATCATCCGCTGTTCTATCCCAAGTGAAGAAGCGGCCTCACCGGCTCGTTTCCCCTCGGCGGCCTCGCAGGCTTAAAGCATGGAACTTGGCATGCGATGAATGAAACCGTTGTTCTGACCTTGAAATCATCATGGAAATGAACAATCCCTGGTTTTCATAGCAGATTTCATGGTCCCAAAACGGGGGTTGGCTGCCATCCACTTCCACCGTGCCCTACAGGGATCCAGTCGTACCTTCTCAGGTTCGGTACGACTGGACCTGACCCTGGCACCTATAATGTCTCAGTGTCGAACACATCACCGTACCTGAGAAGGTATATACTCCCTATAGGGCTCCAGTCGTACCTTCTGAGAAGGTGGGACTGGGGTGGGTGCCAGGTTCGGGTCCAGTCATACAGAACCTGAGGAGGTACAACTGGAGCCCCAAAAAGGGATGATATATGGATCCTATAGGGATGATTCTTTCTAACGAGGGTTCTTCTTCCTGGTTTGGCCGTGTCAGGAGACGGAAGACTATGAACGAGCTTTGGCGGCCGCTTTGCCGGTGAAGAACCGGGACGAGGAGCGGTTTCCAACTGGCGACAGCGGCAACACACGCGTGGCGTTTTCCACTGTGGGAGGCAACTGGCCGTGTTTTGTATCAGATACGTTGGTATGTTAAGATTCAAACCGTTTTGGTGCTTGGGGCGTGAAAGGGATCCCACAGCGCTTCGAATCGTTAAAGTTGTGCTTTGTGGTGAGTGTGAATGGTGCCAGTTGGCATGAAACCTTCAGTGGGACATCAGTTTGTAGTTTGTACAAGACATATTCTTGGAATGCAGATGGGCTACTCTATAGGACGCCAGTTCAAAGGCTAAGAGTCGAAAATCGAAAAGCCCTGGCACTGAGGGTTTGCTTAGTAGTCTTTGGCTAGTGGAAGTTCTTCTTTGCTGCTTGGCGATGGGCGAGCCATCTCTTTGGCTCTTCCCTTGGGCCTTTTGAATGGCGGGAGTCAAAACGACCTTCCTCCAACCCCCCGTGCTACACGGCTGAGCTCGAGTTTCCAGCTGCTCAGCTGCGGGTCGATCGCGCAGGAAGGGGTGAAGGCATCTTTGGAGAAAATGATCCCCTTAGTCGACGCGAAGGCCGTGTGTCGGGCGCAAGGAAGGGTGCCATCACTGGTGTTTCGGAGAGCATCACTCCCAAGCTCACTGAAGCCTTTTTGAGTCCAGCACTGTGTGCCGAGGCTATGCAGGTGGGTCAGCACCGGGTTTTAGGATGTTTGAGTATATCAGTCTTTGTTAGCTGACCCCCTGCGTAAGCAAAACTCGAGCATCACCACATGTTCGACTCGTTTCAAATTCTTACAAAGAACCTTTGACTAACTCGTGCTTAGTAGGGAATGAGGGAATGACCCCTCCACTCCGCTATATCGATACCTTAGGATATCCATTGGACTACCCTGGTTCCATGCGCTCGTCCCACCAGTCAGTGGATGCTTTCCTTAGGGCTCCACAAGCCCGGCCCCCGGGCCTTCCGATGCCGAGCCCTGCTCCGCCAGGCGGCACAGGCCCTGAAGGACTTCGGCCTCAAGCGCATCTGCCGCCGGGACCGGTGAACGAAGGGAGCAGCGTTTGGACCGGTGAACGGTGTGAAAAAACCACAGGCTTTTGTGAGCAGAAGGTGAAAAAAAGAAGGTTCAACAAGGAGTTTGGGGTTGGCGCACATGGAAGTGGAATATCATGGAAGGAAACTATAGTTTTGCCATATGTTACTAGGGTCAATTAGCCCACCTAAGTGAGGCGCAAGCGTCAATGGCAAGGCAAGCACAATGACTTGTAGTGGATTTGGGGGTATGGTGAGATGGCTTGACTTGGAGACTTCCTGGCCGTCCATTCGATGCGTTGATCACCCACCACCCCAAGGACCTGCTTAGAAGGTGCAACTGGAGGCCCGTTTTGGAGCTGAATTGATGCCCAAAACGTCCCATGCACTCCGAACTCGTAGCGAGATCGTCCTCAAATCCCTTTGATGATGTTGATGTTGTCAGCTTCACTCAGGCAGCTTGTCTTTCTACACGGGCGTGACCGACTTCGTTTGGGATTTGTAGGCGGAGCCGGGGCCATGGGGAATGGCTGGGGAGACCATTCTTTCAAGGGCTCATGAGTCATACTAACAGTCTAGCTGTGATGTTCTATTCGTTGATGGCACCATTCGCACCAACTCGGTACGTCACTCGGTACGTATGCCAGTATCCCATCCAACCCTCAATCCGTATATGTCGTCTATCCGTTTGCCTTTCGAAATGCCCCAAAGGACTGGAACAACTGGACTCCCTCAATCCCAAACGCTCCGTGTATGCCATATATGCAACGGCCAGTTGGGGTGGTGCCAGGGGGGTTCTGGCTGTTTCTCAGTCCGTCCTGGAAGTCCCATGCTCCGGAACGTCACCCGGCCACCCGAAGACCGGACCGATCGGGTGACCCGTGAAGCTGATGGGTCTTGAGAGTGGCCGCAGACCGAGCGGTTGAGTTCACCAGGGATCCATAGATGAAAGATGGAAGTTGGGTGTGTCAATGCCAATACCATGTGCAGTATCCTTGTTTGACGTGACCATTTGACGGCCCGGGGGCATTCACAGGTTTGGTTTAACCTGCCAAGACTTGTCGTTTTTCCTTGGAAGCACCACAGGCGACAAGATGAAGATCTGAGTTGAGTTGAGCTTCCAAAGGTCCCCATGTGCTGCAGAGCAACTGCCGGCACATGTGTACAGTCCTTGCAGAAGCTGGCTCTCTAGATGGTTAGACAGGTTGGATGCTGTGTCCTTGGATTGTGGAAATCGGACAAGCCAAAATGGATTTTTACATGTTTTCACAATACATTCAGTGACTTCGATTTGGGGGCCTTGTGGAGAACATCGCAGAGTCAATCTATGAACATCACCGAAAAGTTGCTTTGGTTCAACCTCCAACCTGGAAGGGTAGGATCAAAGAAATTTCTCGCGACCAGCGGACAAGACCTGCGCATCCGACATGGTGCAAAGAGAGTGGAGTGCAGAATTGCGTTAATGAAGTGTGTTCGGCTTGTAGATCTGACAGTGGTCCCCAAACGGATAGGCTTAAACGGTTTAAATGCATCCAAATTCTTAGTTAGTTGGCAGTTGACTTAATTATGTAATTAGTCCGGATATGTGGGGATAAACTTGTCTATCATTATTTGGCGGGTCTATATACTGCTCAGCACCACAACAGTCACCACAACATACCACGGCTCTGGAGATCGCATGTTCAGGTATACATCAGCTGCGTCAGCTGACGCGTGTGACGTGAACGAAGCTTAAATTGCGGGCTGCGTCCTTTGGCCATGCCGTTCAACGGTTCAGTAGTTTCACCCTAGAGAGGTGAAAGAGGTCGCTCAACTGGGTTGAGACCGGCAATGATTCGGGACCCCTTGCAGCTGAGAAGACCTGACACTGAAAATCAGAAGACCTGCTGACGCCTATTAACGGCACGTTGAAAACCGTTCGCTCGGCCAGGCTGCACGCTTCTTATCTGCAGTGGTGGACTGTGTGGTGGTGCACGCATGCACGGGCCTGCAGGAGAGAGCCTGGGCGGTGGAGAGCGCTTTCTTAAAAACGGGACAACGAGACTGGCCGAAGGGGTAAGGACTTGACCGTCCCCTTTCTGCAGGCTTTTGCGGAACTCAACATGCCGATCCCGGACTCGCTACCCTTCCGTCCTGGACAGTCCGTCCGTGGGCGCTCCGCCGGAAGCGCTTTCGGGTCCTCGCGATGAAAACCGCCGGTGTGCCGGGCGTAGGGCGGTTCACGCCCAGGTGATGGATCTCGGTCATGACTGGCTTTGGATGGATTTGGTTAAGACCAATAGCGGTCTTTTTTGGGGGGACGGTTGTCGTAGCCTGCTTAGAACTGTCACGGCATTGACTGCGAAGGAGACGTGTGTATTGCTAAGCTGCTAATGATGATGTTGTATTATTTTTTACATAATCAGCGGGATAGCTGGCACCCTCATTGGTGGAAACTCGAACCCATCTCCCCTTTCTTGGTGAACCCTTTCAGTCTGGAGAAGATCGTAGACTTGAGTCGCCCAAATCAAAGGCTATCCCCATAGTCGCTTGTGTGGCAGGCTCTATTGGTGGCGTACCATATGCCAACACAACAACTTGTTTGCCCCCAAGAACCTTCAGCAAACATCTGCGGGAGCTTGTTTTGGCGTGTGTCGCGAGAAAAAGACGTGTCCGATGCCTCTTTGGAAATTACAATATATATAGCAGCAGCATGCACCAGGACCACCCTAAGGATGGTTTATAGCCCCCCCCTGACTACGTATATTTTCCCTGCAACAACCACCCGAGCTGGGTGGTGCTGGCAGCGAAGAGCACCCACGGTGCCAGACTGTATTCCCGAGTTGGACCAAGAGGTCAGAGACGGTTGCACAAACGTTCTTCGCAGTGCAGAGGAAGCCGTCAACACTTTCGCCACAAAGACCTGGAAAGGCACAGATAGATAAGTCCAAGAAGCAAACTGAAGTAATTCATGTTGTTTTTCTCCCGATAATATTGCCACATGACTTGCTTTTCGTCCAGAAACGACATGTTGCTCCAGGACTTCCCTCACTGGGCAGTGGACTGGTCCTCAGCACTTCCTCGCGAAGGGGTCTTTCACTGCGAAGTACATGTTTTTTGTTTTAAGTGGATGGACTCCAGGCTGATGCGAGTGCGAGGTGGAGTATGTAAAACCTGCAGGTGACCGGTGTAGCAGTTGATTTACACGCAGTTTCTTGAGCTCGCAAGGATCGAGTGATTAGAGTGACCAAGTCACCAAGCATGGACCTTTGGCTCCTTTGCCTCACCACATGCCACGCTTTGCTTCGCTGAACCCACTCGTCCGCGCCGCGCGGGAGCACCGCTTGGGAGTTCGGGTGTGCCACGGGTCGACGGACGGCGGTCGCCCAGGATAAATCCACCTCGCTGCCTGGAGAGCTGGGGGGCCTCGGTCACCCGCGAGAAGCGGAGCGCGGATCCAGCGGAGATCCAGTGGACGGGCTTCCGATGTGGATGGTGACCATGCGCGGAAAGGGAGGTGATAAGGAAATATATCATACCAATTGGACACCAGGGGCCCGGGTTTTTTCGAGCAGAAACCCCGTATTGTTCATGGTTTTTGAGTGCCTATAGTTCCTATACTTGGGCGGTTCCTTGGGCTCTTCTTGGGCGGCTGGGAGCACCCGCTTATTTGCAAAGAGCGGCAACTGACGGCCGCACCATCCTTCTTCTGCCTCGGTGCAGCATGTTCATCCAAAGTTACTTCACGTCTCAGATGCTCCTGAACCTGGGAGGTTCATCCAATTTCCGTTCCGCAAACGGACCACATGGAACCTGAGAAATCACCGGTGGTGGAAGACCATGTTCAATAAAGACGTATAAAGACAACCCAGGTGGGTGAATTGGGGTCCCAATGAGACCTTGAGACGCTTGGATCCGATGTCTTCCGCTTCACACCGCGGTCGTCGCAAGGAACCCAGTTGAAGTGAGAGATTCCTTCAGAACAAACTTTAGACTTAATACAATGCCCAACCCAGCCCACGTGTTTATCAAAATACCTCCATTATTAACTGTTTATCAAAATGGACTCCATAATCACTCCATATGAATGTATACCCAGCCCAAGCGAGAGATTCTGAACTCAATTCTTCAAATCCCACGACCACGACCGCTATAAACGACGGTCCCGACCTCCACCGGGCACCGCGAGGCACGGGCTTCTGGGCCAGATGGACCGCGCAGAGACCAAGGATATCCGATGGGCCTTCGACTATTGGCGCCTCGGCACGGTTTTTTCCGTGCGCAAACGCAAAAACACCAGCACCATCCGACCATTTGGGTGTTTTGGCTGGACATCTTATAAGGGTAGTCCAGAAAGGACACCCAGATGGTCGAAATATATGGAGTAGATGGCGCGCTACGTGACAAACCCTAAGACTTGTTCACTCTCGAAAACTCACATGGACCAGGGTCGAATGGGAGCTAAGAACGACGCTTTTCCTCTACTAAACCATTGGTTTTCGGGGTCCATGATCGTTTTCCACGGGGACTCCAAACTTGGATGCTGCCATCGACGTCGGCCCGGTCAGCGTTGTCGCTGGATGCTTGGAAGGGTCGAGCGTGAGGAAGCCGAATTCGGGAAGTAACGAATGTATAGCCGATGCATGCCGATTCGATGGAAAAAAATGGAAAAAAAGTATTGTGTTCCTTTTGACTGACTCAGTTGAGACTGGACTCAGCGGAGAGGCTGAGGTTTTTGGATGCGTCTTGCCACGTGTTTTGGAGCGTCCTAGCTGCAGAGTTCCTGGACATTCGTTTGGATATGTCCTCCGCACGTTTTTGTTGGGTGGAGGTGCAAAACGAGTTGAGGCAATCGAAGAGCAAGGCGGAATTCCAAGAGTATGCGGGGCTCTACTATGGTGGCTTGGCATGGCTCTATCTTCAGGAAGTGCATGTTAATTGGCGCCTTTGCCATGCCAGAAGATATCTTTGAGGGGCGGAAGTTGATGTCACTCCTACATTCAGAATTCAGATGTTGTATGGGTTCTCTAGCTGATAGCAGGGACGCAAGGTCAACATACCTCACCCAGAATAAAACGCCACTAGGACTAGGACATCCCTGGAATCCTTTGAAGTGCAAGACCATGTATAACCGTTATAACCATGTTACACTCATGTACACTCCCAAAAACTGATCTTCATAGATCTTCATAGATCTAACATATAGTGACCATGGCTCCCCTGGGTCCGTTTTCCGCCCACCGACCCGTTCTGATCATCCTTTCGGGGCCATCGATGACTGCCAACCGACCGTGGAACGCAGGAACGCTTCATGGTTTGGACGAAGATGCGTTTGATTTGGAGTTCCTGACCCAAAACCTGGGAGCCTCCCAAAATACAAGGATGTCTTCAATCTTTTTCACCTCAAGAGTCCAAGAAGATCCAAGAAGCATGGCCACTGTTGGCCATCAAGTGTTTTGCCACTGTTGGCCGAATCAATTCATTCATAGGTTGAAGGCCACTGGCGTGGACGCTGAAATTCCTGGTTTTCACTCAAGCTTGTCAGCTAAGTGCCCCCGCCCGTGCCCGTGCCTTCTTACGCCATTTTCTTGCATCGCCATGTTGCCTTGAGCTTGACCTGGGCTCAAGTGGAATTTCTGGCCTTCTGAACCGGAAGGATGGAGATTGTTGCTGTGTCTGGCAACACGGTTGCTCAGGTTGATGAGGACGAGCTGCGTTGCATGGTGGAAAGCGGGAAAACTGGTCTGGACTTAAAGCGACTTCTTTCAGCTCGGGTTGGGTGCTCGAGGTTTCAGCAAAGACTCTTCATAGACCAGGTTGGAGAATTGGAGGATGACATGCCTCTAACACAAATGCCAAATGTACAACTTATAATTATGCCCTTGTGCATTCCTGACGAGACCACGAAAGAAGAACTACTTCAGAGCTGCCAGGAGAATCGTGTTGCACATCTCGAACAACTGCTGCAAAAACCGCACGATCCGAATGGTATAGGTTTGTCTATTGCAGCCCAGAACGGCCACTTGGAAGTCGTGCAATTGTTGCTCGAGGCAGGAGCTGACAAAGATGCAGCAACGGCAAATGGGAGGCCGGTTTTGCTCATGGCTGCCGCCTATGGCCACTTGGAAGTCGTGCGATTGTTGCTCGGGGCTGGAGCTGACAAAGATGCAGCAAAGGCAAATGGGGCAACAGCTTTGTACATTGCAGCCCAGAACGGCCATTTGGAAGCCGTGCGATTGTTGCTCGAGGCTGGAGCTGACAAAGATGCAGCAAATGCAAATGGGGCAACAGCTTTGTACATTGCAGCCCAGAACGGCCACTTGGAAGTTGTGCGATTGTTGCTCGAGGCTGGAGCTAACACAAATGCAGTAGGGACAGATGAGTTGATGTTCATTGCAGCCGAGAACGGCCACTTGGAAGTCGTGCGATTGCTGCTTGAGGCTGGAGCTGACAA